GCGTTGCCAGATTTTCAATTTCAGGTTTTAACCAGGAGTTGGCGCTTCATTCACAAATAGAGAAAGACAAGTTTCATGGACTTGCAGTTGTGTTTTGAACAGCATTTGAACACATCAATATTTTGATCAAATAAAGTATATCTAATCTTGTAATTCAATAATATATAGTCTTTATATTTTAAATAATCATGATAATAATGTAAATGTTTACATTACACTTCTTTATTTGTTATGCTCATACTTTTACCTTTACAATCGTTTGCTTTAATATGCAGTATATTTTTGGTATATTTTTGTGTTTGCTTCCTCCTGCTCCCTTTCGGACACATACTGTATGATTTATTATATAGCTGCTTTTAATTGAACTATTCACATCTTAAACTGCACTGTAACTTTTATCCATGTATTTTTTCTTTTAATGTTTATTTTATTATCTTTTCTTTTTAATGACTGATTTTAAATGCCATTTTCTTAATGTCTTTCATTTTTTGTAAAGCACTTTGAATTGCTGTGTGTTGATTTCGTCTTTATTATTATTATTAATATGAAGATATTATTAAGATAAGATGTTACTTTATTGATTGAACATTTTAGTTTAGAATGTGCTGTCCCACGGTAATTCAGAAGGCTCACAGGTCACATTCCGACCATTATTTAAAACAATACTGTGTAGGTGCTTTCCCACCGTCTACAGTTTGATTTGTATAGAGGGAGCTCTGTGGCTGAATGGCCAGTGATTAGGTGTGGCACATTTATCATAGGTGATCAGAGCCTGCTGTCAGATTTCATTTAAAAAACAGGTCTGATTTTAAGACTATTTCTGCGCTCATAAAGAATGATAAGAATAAGAATAATGCGTATTGAACTGGTTTCATTAATTAGTGAGTTTATTTAACACTAGAACCGCCAATCGGGTCAATTTGTGTGATGTGTGTTGTGTGTGTGCAATGTAACTTTTTTTCAATAAAATATTAAAGTCTCCCAGTCCGTGACTTTTCCTGAAAGTGTGTTATGTAGCACCCTATGTTGTTAAAAATTGCATTCTAATAGCGGGATTTGACGGTTTTAGGTAGGCCTATACAAAAACCTCTGGCGGTTCTAGTGTTAAGGTAATTAGGTACAGTAGAAGCCCTTTTTTATCAGTAACGAATTTAGCAGTTGAACATAAAAGTCTACTAACTGAGGATCACTTGCAATGACAGTGTTGTGTCTAACTGTAAGCTTGTCACTCAGAGTAACCTACAGTTAATTTAGCTGCTGGAGAAGAAAGATCAGTGGGGGAGGGGGCGGAGAGAGCTGTGGTTGATGGGCCATTAGTTTTGTAAATACACAGCTGAGAGCTGCCGTTTCATTCAGACTGTTTAAAAAAACGGTAACAACGGACAATTTTTCTTAGCGGATGCATGTCGATTTAAATCAATACAACTATTTTTTAAATCAATAAAAACATTTTCTAAATCCATAAAAGCATTTCAATTAATATTGGGAGTCATGTCGTTACTTTGTTGAGAATGTGGCCATGTAATAAGCGGGATAATTTGCAGCGACTTGTTCCTTATGGGGAAAATAACACCCTTCATGCTGATCCTGATCTGCCGACGAGGCTCCATTAAAATATAAATATTTTTAGTGAATTACTGAGTTCAGGCACGTTAATAACGTTTTAATGAAGTTGAATACAGTATATTCATATGTGTCAGTGATTTCATGTCAATTCGGCGAATATAAACATAAATGATCGTGGTGAAGATGATGATTAAATTAGGATTAAAAATCGAGAGCCGGGCTGCATTTCCTCCCGTTCGTTTTTTTCGACTAAACAACATTATTTTGTTAAATAACAACATGGTGATGTTTTGTAAATGATTACATGTCTCTTATTTAGCACAGAGTATGATATCCGTGACATATGGATCTTAACAAAGTTCCGCTGTACATCCAGCGTACTGTATCTGACTTTATTTCACATGAGCTCCAGTGTGGAACCCCACTGCACCCCCTGGTGGATCAATGATCCATTGCAGCTGGCTTCATTATAATTACATTTATTTATCACGGGGGCGGTCTCAAGTCAAGCTGGAGGTTTTCCCTTGAGTGAGGGCAGATCACGTACCAATCACGGCCCTCGCGTTTCAAACTGTCCGAAATTAGGTGCTACATCTGTATCACCAGGTCCATTGGTATTCAACTTAGCGAATATTTTGGCTTATCCTAAAATTTGATTGAATGTTTGGATCTTAAGGTACATGGGAAACAACCTGAGCAACCGGTAGTTTACAGGCTCACCCCCCCCCCCCGCCCCTGTTGACCACAGTGAGAATACCAATTTTAGGCGTAACAACTACTTTATTCTATGTTTACACCAGTTTAATTCACCCAGTTCTATTGTTTTGAGATTACAAGACCAACTGATTAATTGACCTCTGATAAAAAAAAAACACCTGTGAATCTGGCTGCAATGACAAATGCTCACCCACTGATCCTCTACAAAATTCCACTAAGCTCCATCTTTTTGTTGTTCATTTTGAGAGCCCACTACTGCAAAAAAAACACATAGTGTGTTTAACCACGCGTCAACAGGAAACACTAGGAAGCATCAGAAATGAATTTGTGTTTGTTTCAGTGACCTACGTTAGCATTTACAATATAAAGTAGTGACATGTTTTTCCTTTTAGATGTTGTAAATGCACCTATTATTAGCAATTCATAGCTGGAACGCATCATCCGGCTGAAGTGCAGTTGGCAGATAATTGACTGAGACCATGTGAGGACACTGCGCTAGCCTCGATAAAAAGCTCTTTCCATCAACCTCACCGTTCATTCATGTCATTCAGCTTCACAGTGACGTATGGTCTGGTTTTAGCTTGTGGAGTACAGTTTCTCCACCTGCTTGTAATAAAGATGTACTCTCACGCAGTGGTAATGCTAATTCACACATCTACATCTCTGTCTAAAGTCATCTAAGCGACATCATTGATTGATGCCAATTTTAACACCATTGGCAAATTCTAAAAGCAGTATACATTTTGACTTTTTAATTATTTCCTTTTTGAATCTTCGTCTCATTAAGACTAAGAGGTAAGCATATCCACTTGATGCCGTTGATACATAGTTTGGGAATTATAATAAAATGCCAGAGGGAAACTGATTGATTATTAGCACACATCGTCATTACAATTCAGTTTTGGTCAAACGTGACTTTTCCTGAGACAATAACATCAGATATGTGACCAAATTCTCCTCTCTCCTCCTTCTCTTCCCTTTCTTCCCGCTCCCCCCTCCTCTCCTCCATGCCTGAGGGCCTTCACATCTCCCAGCTCAGGGGTTGTGGTGAAACACGCTCCAGCTGATGCAACCTCCCGCTCGGTCTGTGCTCTGTTTACTTCGGACCGTCTGTCGGCTTCTGCCAGACTCCATCTTTAGTTAATCATCCCTGTTCGTGTTGGGGAATTCGCCTTATCCCTAGTGCAGCCCACAGACAGAAAAACAAACAATATATTTACACCGGTATTTAAATGGAATTCACTAGTAAACAACTTGAATTATGTTGCATTGGGAAAACGATGATTTAGCCGTGTCCCTGACAAATCTACTAATGCAGAGTCTATGCATCGTTGGTTTTGTTAAAAAGATCATTAAGACAAATTGTCCAGATAACACACTTAGTCCTGCCTGTTTATTGAGTGTCGGCACACTCAGGCCTGTGCTGCTCTTTTTAAAAAGACGGTTAGTCACTGTGGTGCCGTGGGATCTCATTATTCTCCAGCATCAGGACGAACCTTTGAACGTGAGAGCTATGCTTTACGTCAGAGTGGATCACTTGCTGGATACAAATTCCCAATCCATGCATTGTTGGAACTTAAATTGTCCTCCAAGCCTGATGGTGGCTTCAATCACTGGTGGATCAAACGTATTCACCATTACAGTACGTGCAGTGCAGCTTTAATTAATTAAATTATTAAAGCTGCACTGATCATCTTCATTTTATTGACTTATGTGAGGGTGTCACTTTATTATTTATTTTTCGAAGTGAAATGTATCCTTCTTCATTTATTGAATTAATACTTTCATGATTAATTCCTGGGCCTACAGTATATCATGCTTTAATTGGTTTCAAAGTTTGTCAATGAATAAAAAGTTGTTGTTTACTTTTTCTTCCAGAGATTATAGAGAGCAACTATAAAATGATTGAACTTTGTAAAAATCAATTTTAAGAAGTTGCTATTGTCAAGTTTTACTCATGGATGCTGTTAGGGGGTAAACAAGACGTGGCGGTTTAAGAAACTATTGGAATCTTGTTGGTTGAAGTGCTGAGAGTTGATTTGAGTTTTGCTTTAGAACAACAACGAACACAAAAGGAAACATTTATAAAAATGTTAGTTACATTTTCAGACAGCTCTCTGAAGTTGAAGTAACGTAAGGTATTTGCGTCAGAAATTCCTGCACTGATGCATATTCTGAATACCTTTACCACTGAAGAGCCATCTTGGCTCCGTAACAGGGGTTAATTGTCCTCTGTAATGTTTCGTACCGTGAACAAACTTTGCTAATTAGCTAGCTAACAGGGTCGATTTGAACTTCCGATGAGGGCACAGCTGTTTGAGATGACACTCAACACATACACTGCTTTATTGTTCTCCGTGTAGGACAGCGTACTAAAGGAAATATCCCAATGGAGACACAGCACTGCTCTCCTCTAGCTGTGTGATGAGTTTAGGCGTCCTGCTGTGACTTACGGCCACCCACAGTAAACAATAACCAGTCGTCTCAGAAATATGACTCTGCCGGCCGCCTCACCTATACTGTAACTGCAACTCAGCCAAAACACAAAGTGCCCAGTGGTTGTATTCTTTTCATTTAAAGGTTTTATTAGTTGATAGTCCCTCTCGTGCATTGTAAAGCGCGTACGGTAGAGGCCCAAGGTTCTAATGCTTTGTCTAGTCGCCTCTCGTTTTTCTACAACTCTTAACACCAGCTTTCCATGTCTGTTTTCCCCCCAGGTTTTGTATGCAGAAGAGTGCCAAGTTGGTGCCAGGGGTGACGTTAGACCTCATCGAAAAGTAAGTGGCACTCCACCGTCATCCTTAATAAATAAAGTAAGTCTCTTCCTGTTACTGTCTCCCGCTCTCAGGAGGGTACAGTGAAGAGAAATCATTATCTTGTTTTCCTTTCTGTCTGTCTCCCCTCTGTCTATATTCCTGTCTCCCTCCTTCTTTTTGTCAGGCCTCTCTCTGCTGTTTTCCATCCTTGAGTTATATTTCTCTGCCTTTGTTTCCCCCTCACAGCCACTAGTTTGGCAAATTTAGAGGTTTAAATATCTTCAGTAAACCTCGGGGTGTCGAGGGCTGAGCACAGAACATCTTTCGCTCTCAGGCACGAACTCTGAGTGATATCAACGTCACATCCATAGTCTCTGTAGTGTCACAGAAACATTAGGGGTACTTTTCTTTTTTTTCATCTACCTTTCCGTGTGGGGGAGTGTAATTGACACCCATAAACTAAGTTGGTTGAGGTGGTTTTAGACGCAGTAAGTATTTCTAAAGCAGACTGTCATTTCTCTGTCTCATCTTTTTGGAAGGCTCCCGAGGTGTTAACTTGAAGAGTGTCTCAGCTGTGTCATGATGATGTTTGCTTAAAGGTGATTTTTTTCTTAAATGTGCCACAGAAAGTTCATGCAGAGACTGTGACACTCGTCCTAGTCCTTTGCCCTAGAACTGTGTTCATTCTGTGGTTCTTCACACTCACAATGGTACACAACTACTTTCTACCACTTCTACTTTTCTGTCCAAACTTGTGTTTTAAGCGCTATACTCTCAAGAGAATAAATACAGCAGACTATAATGCATTAACCTCAAGGGCAGCACATTTTTTAAAACACACTTTTATTGCTTACTGTGCTTTATTTTTCAAATGGGGCAAATTTGTAAGTGTTTCTCTCATAATTTCTTAAATAAGAAACCTCCCCCTTTTGCACAGTATTCACTGCATAGTAGAAGATTAGAGTCATGTGATACTCTTCAGTCAGATGCTCTGAATTTCTCTTTTTAAAACTTAAGTTTTGTTTTTACTCACCAGCTAATTCCAATCAGTTTGACTTTAGCGGTCTGGTGTTAGGCATCCCTCAGGGAAATGAACAGAGTTTCAGTGGGCTTTATAGACTCAGACCAGCAACAGGTGCCAAAAAGTACAAAGTAGAAGAGATGAGTGTCATGAATAGAAACGAGTGTCCTCATGTGTTACACATTTCTGTTTCTGTAATAATTCAGAAACCATTTATTGAAGATGTAATATATCTTCTTAGGGGTGCAACAACTAATCGACTTAATCGATTAAAATCGATGACCAAATTAGTTGCCAACTAATTCAGTCGTCGATTCGTTGGTGACGTCATCACGTGTGTTTTACGCGCCGTTAAGCTCCAACGTTATCGGTCTTTTTATCGGTACTGGAGACATTTAAAAAATATGTCATATGTATTATTGCTACATAAACATTATCTCGCAGTCTTAGTGTCGCCAACTCCGTTTCTAAAATGCAAAAAGACAAAAATATGCGTCTATGGTGTATTTTCGATCTTTCCAATCGAGACGAGATCTCTTTCTCCCGTGTGCGAGGGGGCGGGGCCGTTTACACACACGCGGCTGCTACATGCAGCAACACACGGCTGGGATGGCGGAGAGAAGCGCTCCAAGGTGTGGTTAAATGTTACCCGTCTCCATGTGGACAATGCTCGTCACCAAAAGTGCAATAAGAGTGTTAGCATGTAAGGGCGGTAACACGAGCAATTTGTCTAAACATTTAGCAAAAGTGCTCCACATTCAGACGGAGGAATGTACCGGGTTCGACTGTCTTTCTAGTAGCTCTGTAGCTCCATCCACGAGTAACGTTTCCACGTCAGGTGTTATGTATGCTAGCAGCAACACACGGAGTTAACTACATTATACAAACATGGGTTAATGATTAGAGGAAACTGAGTTATTTAGTTTGTTAAAGTTTCAGCTATTCTGTTTACAGTTCTGTCATCAGATTATTTAATACGATTTGTTAAAACATTGTTGTTTCTTTTGTTTTCTTTTGAAATATTATTTATTTAATTTAAATAAAAAGCAATGTTAATTTTGTAAACAATTTGTTTAGTTAATTTAATAATATATGTATTTTTGAATCAAATATTCATCTTTATTGTCTTCATTGTTAGTTTCCACATGCCTAAAACAACCTCAAGCTAAATCTAAAAGTTGATGGCTAAATAAGAGCGTTTGAGAAGTTGTGCAAGGCGTACAGTGATAGTCCGAATAGTCGATTAATCGTTTCATTAATCGATAGATTAATCGATTATCAAATGAGTCGTTTGTTGCAGCCCTCTGAGCCTATTTTAAATCTCAATAATTGGTCCAGAGTCAGTGAATCATTTGTGTGGAATATACATGTTTACTCTCAACTTGTTTCCCACAAGATTAATGAGGATTATCCATAATGTGACATGTTTCCTACCTCTCCGGGTCTTATTTTTTACTGTTCTTCCTTCTTTTACCTTTTAATCATCTTTCGTATTAATCATTTACTTATATAGCTTCTTTGATTTGTTCCCCCCCTATTCAGTCAACTCCTTCTCCTCTTCTTTCAAAGAGCCTTTCTTTCCAGTGGATAAGCATTATGCAGGAAATGCCCTAGTACTGTGCGTAAAGCTACTGCAGGATAGGAAACCACTAGAGCGAGGATGAATGCCTTTGAATAAATAAGATATTTTTTCTGTTTATCTCTCACTGTTTTTCATTCAGACATCCCAGCCCTGACCAACATCTGTCAGTGGGATTTACATTACATAACAAGACATAACATTGAACCGCTCATTCATGCTCAACTTCTCATTTCCATTTGCTTCACTAGAATAAAGATATGGTTTTGTGGAAAGACTGGAAAGGTATTTCATGACTCACTTGCTGAAATTAGATTGTTAGCACCCACCTACATCACAACTTTCTTATAATTCACTTTTAGACCTGATAACAGAAATACTCAGTTTTGTTTTGGCGAGGTGTGTCGTTGTTAACCACCAATCAGGTTGCCAGCAAGTCTCTTGTTTTCCCTAAATGTGTCTGATAACTTTGATGTCAGCACTTACTCAGAGTAATTCACGAATCTCTCTGTCCACTTTCTTGGCGTCTTTGTTTATCATTACCCTTTTCCTCAACCTTCAATGTTCTTTCTTCCGGTTTTGTGCACATGGTATATAAACATCTTCAGAAAACTAATATCTTTATTCCCACTTGGGCTCAATGGGTTAATACACAGATGATGGGCTAGGAAGTTACCAGGGTAAAGTCAGTTGGCTATACCTTCCTCATGATTTCAACATCTGTGCTGACAAACAGCTCCAACAGGTTGTGTCCATATAACCAGGGGTGCACATAACTGGTACGCAGGTACGCATGCGCGGCAGCAATCTGAAATGCGTACCGTCACTTGTCACAAAGCGCATTTGTGACGTACTTGTGAAGCTTTTCCAGAAGGCGGTTAGATCACCGTACGACAGAGTCGGTCTCCGTGTGCACAGACAGGGCTGCTGAGGAAGACTCCCCCCCCCCACCCCCCTTCACTGGAGAACTGCGCTAAAACAGCTGATCACAACGTTCACACTCTGTGATCACAAAGTACTCCACTAGCACCCCCCAACGTTCGCGATACAGAGGGCTTCATCTAATAACTTTGAGTGGAGCCAGAAGTTGGAGTACCAAACACTGACTCCAGGTACTAATCTGAGTACCTCACTGAGAAAGTTATGTGCACCCCTGTATATAACCTCAGGGTTTCAGTGCATGTGTAAAAGGGGCTCAATTTATGTCAGAGCCTGGGGAACGCATTACTTACATTGAATGGAAACATCAGATTTCCTTGTTTAACAATGGTTCTGGAGTCAAAATGAAAGTCTGAATGGTTTCTGTCAGGAAATGCCAACTTTTGATCTGTATTCAAAGCTACAGACATAACCAATCATATGTCAGGCCTGAATGAAGACTGCTTCAAACCAACACTTGCTTTCTTAAGATCCTGTGCTCTGCTCTTCTTGTTAGCTGTCTGCTTTAGACACAGCAGGAGGGGGGGTTATATACTGTATATCACCAGTAAGGTCAAGAGGAAGGGTTGTGCTGCAGAAAGTGCTGACCCACCCTGCATTACGCTCTGTGCTCCACTGTGATTGGATTTGAGGGGCTTTTGATTCCTAACAATATTGAATAAAAAGTTTAATTCACGAGAGACATCACTTTGATATGAATTACAAGCATTTATATAAATAGTGAGGTTTCATATGAGATCCAAAAACGAACAACATGTGAGATAAGAGATGTCAAAAATAAGTTTAAACAAATAAATAGGAGATCTAATTAACTTAAAGGTATTGTGCTTTTTGTAGGTATTCCCTTTCCTGTAGTGTGTTAAATCGGTTTTTGTAAATGTTCTACAAAGGTGAAAATGAGCATTACACAGTACGTCCTCTTTAAATGCCTCAATTGTTGAGAGTATAAGGCTTTCCTTCTGGCCCTGAATATGACTGAATATGCTGCTTCTGTTTTAATCAGTGAGGCTTGATGCTTAAGTTGCGGTTTTTGTTCATAGCATGTTGTCCTGAGGGCTAAATGTTGACTCAGCTAAGGTCCCTCAGAGTTAAATAATGGATGGTCTCAGAGCTCATAAAATCAAAATGGAACCAAAGCCATTTTCCATCTCACCTCTCTGCCCTATGAAGCTGGGTCATAACGCTAACAAAGTCAAACGTTTTTCATGGGATGCTTCATCAAAGCATGAGATGCTTCATCAAAGCATGACATATCACAGAACCAGCAGGTAGATCAGAGATGTAGGAATTAGGGCTAGACTAATTAATTATTTTCCTACAATTAATCAAAGACCGCATGTACAGCATGAAAATCAACAGCTTTATAAGCTTAACAAATATTGATGATGTCAATGTTCGCAGTTAGATTTGCTTTTGTGGAAACACAATATAAATGACTGCGACTTTAAGATAACTTCAACACATTAACAGATAATCCAGAAT